GTTTACCGGGCAGTTCTATTTGACGATATATATATATATACGTTTGTTGTCCTCTTCTCCCTCTCTGCCTACGGTTTACCGGGCAGTTCTATTTGACGATATATATGACAATATATATATATATATATACCGGGCAGTTCTATTTGACGATATATATATATATAAACAGTTTGTCACAGCCCCTCGTTTGTTGTCCTCTTCTCTCTCTCTGCCTACGGTTTACCGGGCAGTTCTGTTTGTGACGATATATATATATATATATGTGACAATACAGTAGCCTATCGAAGGGATATGCTAATCTTGACTGGAGGACGGAAAGGTAGTATCTTAGTAGCATGTGGCACACGATATTGCAGTGCAAGCTGCACAGCACTTCCGTTTAGTGCTTAGTACCAGAGTAGGCAGTGCATAGAAGGTTTTCCTTTGGAAGGGCAAAGATAACCATGGCAGCGACTGAACTGCCACCAACTGCGCAGAGCAGGATGTCGTCGACCACTGTGCACAGCTTTTTATTGGAACGATACTTGGAAGATTCCATGAGGTTGTATGGAACCCGCAAACATACCCATAATCCTCACCCGGTGACTCTAGGAGAGCCTTCAAACAGTGCGTTCTGTGAGCCGAAGAAGGGCTTAGTCTGTTCGAAGCCAAACTTTGATGAGGGTGGTCAAACAGGAAACGGAGTTGTCCTTCATCCTTTGCCAAGAGTTTCTGAGATTCAATCTGAATGCTTGCAGTCAGTTGCACATTCGGCAAGCAGCCCAAGTTATTGGGCAGGGTACCCACAATCTTATCCCCATGGCGGAAAAGTGCATGACCGTGGACATTTGCCGCTTTCTGAAGGTGGTTCCGAGTGCCATCTGTCTTTTCCGAACCTCTCGGATGATGGGCTCTCGTCCAAAAAGGGTGAACTCGTAGGCCATGATGTCCTCCTGACTGCAGTCACTCCACTCTCATTGTTAAGGCTTGAGTTCACATCAGATGACAGGAGCTTGCTCGGTGGTGGTTTCCTGGTGGATTCATCATCGGTGCCGTCAGCGGGCTTGATATCCAGCGGGATGATGAGGACTCTAAGCAGCCGCAAGTCCACAGAAAGTGGTGTCTCGGACGCAAAGCTGGCTTGTCAGCCACTCAATCTGCCAGAATTGGGCGATAGGGGCAGAGTCTCGACGTCATCGCAGAGGGATTACGCGGGCGAAAGAGTGCTGCTTGACAGCAGAAGACAGTCAGATAGTGCAAGGTTGAGCGATCCAGATGCTGCGAATTACCCACATTCACAGAGATCGGACAAAAGCCGTAGGCGTAACGGTCTCTTCCCTGCAGAGAAAGCCAGTCATGCAGGCGGTTTGCGGAGATTTTCATATTGTGATGTTCCCATCTGTGGCTCCTTCGGCACTGGGACAGACTACGGGATCAACTTGTCAGAACCGTCTGCCGGTATTCATTTGAGGACTGATCCTCTGGAACAGGCCACACCTTCCGGCTTAACTTCGAGAATGATGACATCAGCACCATCCGTCGCGAGCAGTGTCGGGTATGTGAATGGTGCAGACTTTCTGGACAGATATTCGTGGCGTTTTGAAGCAGATGCAGCAGCCCCCGCTCCCTGTGGCAGAATTCTTGACACGGTGGCTGGTACCAAATACGATCCGGAAACAGAGGCAGGGAGTTCCAAGGGCTATTGCAAGAACGGGACTCAGATGGGTATGGGTGTTGGTGTGCAGGATGGTAATCACAGTGGTAGGGACTGTGAGGAGGACGAAATGTGTCCTCGGGAGTACAAGGCAGTGGCGGGAAGGCGTTCACAACAAAGTCTGCTGAAAAGAGATGGACATTTTCGACCAAGTTCAGAACCCCAGAGGCATACGCAAACTCAGCTGCAATCTTTGGTAATGCCGATGATGGTCCCATCCTCTCCTGTTGAACGGCAGCCATCAACAACCACTGGAACACACCAACTGGGAAGTGATTCCCGGGACCGGCGACATACTGGAGCTCGTGGCTTCAGGGCTGACATGCAAGCTGCCCTGACAGCTTCGAAAGTGTGTGAGGATGTGAGTCGAGGACAAGCCCCGGAATGCAATGAATCGGATAAGTCGGCAATGGAATTGGCATCAGGGTCTGTCGATTCAGTACTAGTGCAGCACTCGCGTGGTACCCAGTCATCATCACATGACGGCTATGAGAGCAACGCCTCCACAAGAAGGCAGGCAACTGTCATGTCCATGGTTGATGACTCACTGTCTCGCCTGCCGCATGGAGTGTTAGGGGCGAGGGCCATCTTCGCCATGGGCCACAAAGATGTAGCTGGTGGGTTGTCGCATGGGAAGTTATCGGATGAACGCACGGGGTCTGAGGACGGAGGCCAGTTTCGTGGGTATTCAGAAGGGCACCAAGATTCTACAGATTTCGTCTTCCATGCAATTTCAGGGGGAGATTTGTCAGGGCCTTGTGTGCCGGGCAAAGTTTGGGGGGGACCGAATGGCTTAGTCTCTAATAGTATCCATAACAAAGGGAAGACTGGAAGGTTCACAGCTGTAGATCCTGGAATGAGGAATCTGCATCAGCAAATGAGGAATGGTAAGTGTTCAGATAGTGCGAGTAGTGATGGAAACTTCAGCGTTCAATCTCTCCCACATCTTGTGGCTCGTGACCTCACCACCGACGGGAGCACCTTACGTGGTAGTACCCTCTCACAGGGTCGGGGTCGTGCCAGCTCTGCATTCAGTAGCCGTCCCAATGATGAAAGTGTAGGATTGAGCATGTATGGAGGCGGCAAGGAGACCTCTCGCTCTCGTCAGGGTGCAGATGTTCAACTGGAGGGGCGGTTTAGATCTGGCCTGAAGCTCTTGCCATGTGGAAACGAGAGGTACATTTCTTACAAGGAGGACAGTGACAGTTCTTTTGGGTTAAAAAGATTGCAAGGAGATCGAGCATATGAGTCTAACCATGACGAATCAAGCAGCCAAGGGAGAGGTGATTTGAAAGAGGGCAAGGAGAAAGGTTGGAGCATGCTGTCAGGTCGACAAAGTGAAGGAGAAAAAAATGTAGTCGATCAACCAGAGGCTCGAGAAGGAAGCTTGTCAAGAAGTGAGAGTGAGCAGGCATGGGGAGTTTCTGGGCCTACGTCCGCAGTACCGTCATCCATGTCATTGTTTCCACATGTCAAGGGATCAAATGGCATCTGTCATTCAAGGAGCGTTCCTACTCGTAGTAATAACGGACAAGCTCACCCTGAGGAGACAGCGGGATGGCTAGCCGGTGATGCTGAGTTGGGCAGTGATCGCATTTCCACCCCTCCGCACTCGGCCTCATCACAGCTGTTAGTTCGATCAAGTCCTAGCCCCCTAGGAAATCACAGGTGGTCTGGCTCACAGTCCAGCATTCAGATCGCCAAACTAAAGGCGACTGGAATGAATAGTGAAGAAGTACATGAAGAATTGGGGAAGCTTTCGCACCTGGGTGCAGATCTTGCTGGCAGGCAAACTTATTTGCTCTCTGGAAGTCCATCCAGAGCCACACTGGGTGTATTAAAAATCAATTGCTCTCCTGTGTTCGCCAAGATCCCACGACCTGCCATTGAAGTTGTACGTAGACACAGCTGGAGGACTGCCGAATCATCGTTATTACGCACTCAAAACAGTTTCCGTTCTTCACAAGCACATCTCTCAGAAATCCAATGCTGCACAGGATCGCTGGCCGCCTCCTCCGATCATGCTTCACAATCAGCGGTAAGCCGTTTCTCTGGAGAACATGACATTGTCAAAACATGTGGCATTGCCAGGCAGCAGTCAAATCTGAGTGCCGCCGAATGTACTCCCTCAGATGGTACTCCCTCAGATGGTGGTGGATCTTCTTTCGATGGAAGGTTATCTGCTCCCATGGCAGCTACAAGCAATTCTGCGAAGTTGCCGCAGTGGTTCAAACAGGTTGATGGCCTCGTCAGCCAGAACCCACAGTGTGTGGACAGCTGGCGAAACATGCGGCTGAGAGCTAGTATGGAAGCAGCCAAGTCCGGCTGGCAGATGTCAGGGTGCAGAGATTCTGCAGGAAGACCTGGATGCCACAATGAAGATAATCATTGCAGCAGCAGCAGCAGCAGCAAAGGTGGACGTTTCTGTCCACATTGTGAACGACATCAGCTCGCAGCTGCTGTTTTTAGTCAAGGGCCTAGCGTTCAACACAGTCATTTGGAACGTGAGGACTCGGTGAAGCTCACAACCTCAGAGGCACATACATTAAGTTGGTCTCCTCTTCGTCACGGTTACCATCATGATCATCAATGCGACCATCGCGCTTATTCCCAGCAATCGGAGAATCGCAATTCGTCAGAGTTCAGGGAATTATCTAAATGGAACAGCAACACCATGGGCAGCTATAGCACTGACACAGCATTAGACCGTGCATGGGACAACATGGATGAGGCCAATGGAAGTGTGAGTACCTGCTTCCCTCTGCTGCCATCACTTACCCACCCATCCACTTGCCGATCTCTCACAATAGGAACCCAAAAAAAGCGAAAAAAAAAAAAAAAAAGGAAGTGAAGCCAGCCGTGCCATGCAGTTGATAAACACCGCTACCTAGCAACGTTGCTGATGTCAGTTGTCAACTTGTGACAGATGCTATGAACCTGGTCAACTCATATGGCAAAGCTCAAAAAGAGAGAATGCAATTCAGTTGCAACTCCAGAACGAAAGCAGAATGAGACAAAGGAAGAAGAAGAAGAAGGAAGGAAAGAGGAAGAAGACATTAAACACGAGCGGGAACCAATGTCATCTCCCCTCAACTTGTCTCCATCATCTCACCCTCATCATCTCCAATACTGTGCTCCGCCGACCTACTTCACGGAATTTCGACGAAGTATTTGGGGTTCCACTGACCGAAGCTGTTTTTCTTCCTCTGGCGTCGGCACCTGGTTCACCGCATTTTTCGTCTTAGCTGGATGATGCGCGTCTGGGAGATGTCACGCCAGTTCTCAAAATGGGGAAGGCGTTGCTATGCCTCTTTTGCCAAGTATTTCTTTAGGGCCTATATGGTGCAAAGATGGCCACACTTGGCATCTGATCGTTTAATGCCCCTAAGATGATGGCGTTTGAGCAGCAATTCTTTCGAAGGACAAATGAGATTTGTGGCCTGTGGAGCCTATTATTACGAACTCTGCGTTGTACTCACTGTTATGTACAGAAATTCTCCAACGTACAGTTGGTGGAGCACAAGCCTCAGCAACAACAACAAATGCATGAGCCAGAACCAATGTCCGATCACCCCTTACTGCCAGCCTTGTAAAGAGCCCTCCTTTGACCTTCTACACCTCCGTTCGACCCGGGTAAGGCTGATGGCTATGGCGGAACATTCGAGCTTTCCTCGGATGTTGAAAGGACAATGCGACCCATCCCCTTCCAACATCTACCGGATGAAGTCCACAACCCGCCAGAACCCCTTGAGGGGCCTTCTTGATGCCGCACCAAACTTGGTGATGAAGACACAAGTTTGTCATAGCCAAAGGGGATTCTCCTTCCCAGTTCACATCCCCTTCCTCCCCCTCCAAGCTCTATTACACCTGCATAGCCTAGGTAGAGGCCCTTCTCCCTCACCTCCGTAGCCTAGGACTATGTTTACCCCTCCCTACTGCCCCTCCATAGCCGAGGTCTTCTCCATCACCCCCCAACTCCACCCCCAGACTCCACGACCTTTGCCACTTCTCCCTCCCTCCTGGGGAAACAGCAGCATGACTGCTGGGTGAAGGAGCGGACTAACCATTGCACAGAAAAAATGATATACTTTGGTGCCTGGCCATCAGCACCTTATAGCCGGGCGCTGCTTGCCTCTGACTGCCTCACTCAGTGCACTAGGCCTACTGGGCGTTCCTTCCTTTTGGCGGAAGATCATGCAGACTGGTATCTACCTACAGGCCCCGAGCCTCGACTTCTACGGCCCCCCCGGGTAAGTTTTCGGGTGACTATCACTGCTGCACCTCTTTCAACCTCGATTGTGAAAACACTTGGAAAGAGGGTTGGGGTGAGTACTCACACCGAAACCCATTTCTCCAGCCTGCAAACGGCCGGTCACGGTGGGACCTCTCAGGCCATCACCTTGGAGGGTGGGTGCATCCCGACCGGCAGCATGTGGTATGGACCGATGCGTCAGTTTCTGCTCACCCGAGAAAAATGCATCTGGCTACTTTGTTCGGCTAGAACGAGGTAAGTTCACAACTGTGCTTATCACCCACCATGCTGTGCAGGTCTGCACGCACCTGAGTTGAGTACACTCAGTACAGTATCGGGGTGTCTGTGTGCACCCATGAGGCCCTTAGTCAACTGCTCACCCGTTTGGGGTGGGGTGATTAGTGCAGCGAAGCCGTATGTCCTAAGCGCCTATCAAACATATAATTGCACACTGTTATCAATTTGATTAAATTACACTTACTTCCTTCGTTTTTTTCTTTTTTCTTTTAAATTACACCTACTTCCTTTTGATTCATGATTGTAGCTTAAAAAAAAAAGAAGGGAAAATTACATCTGTACGGAGACTGTACCCACTTAAAGATGGGAATACCGGCTATACCCAGTCCCAGCGACAACTTGCATTTATACCCAGAAAAGTTGAGAAAACGGCTGGTTGAAATTGTTTGCATGCCCGGGACCGAGGTGGACCCAGGTTGGTACCGCAAAATTGTGGTTATAACCAACTACCGGAATGCGCAAATTATGGACATAACCATACAAGACTATGGGCATACCCGGGACCTGAGGAGGAGAGGCCAAATTGTTCATATACCCTGCTACCGGGTGGATGAAATTATGGTCATACCCAGCAGCCGTTGGGCCACAATGGTCTACTTGGTGGGCATGAGCAAAATTTCGTGCTCCAAATCTAGGGCCTGCGGGATCGGGTACACCTACTACACCTACAATTTCGCACTGGGGAAAAGCTGGGTACTATGCAAAGCTGAACACCCTCTGGGTATAGATGCAAGTTCACGCTAGGACTGGGTATAGTGGGCAGTTCCATCTTTAAGTGGGGTACAGAGTCAATGTTCCCAAATTTTTTTTTTTTTTTTTTTTTTTTTTCCCAAGAAAGAGCAGCCCCTTCTATTCTGGGGGGCATCAGTCCGGTTGCTCATCACTGGCAAGCCTGAGAGACAAACTACAGTTTGGTTTAAAAGAGAAGAGGAAAGCCTTGCCCTTGCGGCCCTAGACGCCTCTCAAGGGGGGGATTGCTACAACCAAAACCCACTTCCCATACCATAGCCTCCCCAGGGATACCTCTGTTGGTCGGGAAGCTTCCTAGCAGCACCCAGCCACACAACAGATGGGTCCCCAGGGAAGGCCTGGCTCGGGGGGGCTGTTCTAGCAATCTCGCGGGCCTCTCATCGTGTTAAAACCCTTCCTCAGTTTCCCCATTAAAATCCTCTGGCTACCATCCAATATTTACAGCACTCGCCCTCATACCACCCTCCAGTCTCTACTCCGCACTCCTTTATACAGCCTACCCCGAGTATCTATTATATTCTCAAGTATCATCTACATCTGAGCCCTGTCACCTTTATGTTTTATATCTACCCTGCTGATGTGTTTACAAACTCACCCTTGCCTTATTTGCCCGCCCTCTAGTTCACAACCCATTCTGAGGGCAGTAGGTTTCTCTTGTCTCATCATGGAGAAACCTTGCTGAGCACCTGTGGCCAGAATAGGCCCCTTATTCTTAGTTATACAAAAAACCTTCGTAAATGCCTGAAGCCAGGTAGGCCATCCATATTCTAATCTAGTTGAATCTAATGGAATCTTGTCCCCAGCAGTATAATCAACAGTACATTCAGCACTCAAATATATCCCATGTCCCTTCCTCTGTCATCCCCCCTTTTTTTCATTTTTCAGTTTTAACTTGCCCTCCCGTTCCCCCACTACTGTGCTCCCATCTTTTTTTTTTTTTTTTTTTTGGGTGGTGTCACTGGTGTGTGTCAGTCCTTTAAAGTTTAAACTCCTTTTCCTGCTGGATTTTGTATTTTTTGTTTTGTTTTTGTAGTTGGATGTACATCCGTTTCTTATGTCCTCCTTTTTCTCTTCTCTACAGGGGAACGGAGAACAGGAGCATTATGTGGCGGATGGTGAATGTTGGCTGCCACAGGTTCGTCCTCGTCCATGGAGAAGAGAAGAGGAAGAATGTGGCTATTCCTTCCTTCGGTGTGGCTGTATTCGGCGACGGGGGCATTTCCGAAAGCTGCAAAGGCAGGCAAAGAGCTTCTGTGAGTGGCACTGTCTAGTAGTAGCGTCTATCGGACTCTATCCACATCCTTGAATTGTAATTTATCATTTACGTATGGATAATTGTCTATTCACTTCAGTATTCCACTCTCTTGAATTGTAATTACTTCACGGATACGGCAGCGATATTAAACCACCAGCACACCCGAGCCTGGAGGACTGGCAGTGCGCGCAATGCTTTGCTGAATTGCCAGCGGCACACTTTCTTTCTTTCTTGGCTGGTGCAGCCAGCCATTGTGGTCCGGTAGCCCCGAGACTCCTAAATTTTACGAGTGAGCCGTGGAGTTAATGTACCAGAGGTTTAAACCACCAGTTCACACGAACCTAAGTAGTGTTCTTACCGGTATACGCAATAAGAGCGATAGACTTCAAGCCTGGGTGGGTTGTGGAAGTGGTAGGCCACTTTGGCGCAGTTGCAGGCTTGCGAGCCGGGGCAACCGGACCAAAATGGCAGGTGGCGACGTGGCGCCAACCAAAACGAAAGCAACAAAGGCAAAAACGTTGGGCTGGCGTTTCGGCAAAGCTTGGTGTTCAGTGGGAATCCGTTCATACAAAAGATGCTCGGATGTTCTCGTAGTTTAATGCAGATGCATGCCCACTTCATATGGCATACTATTCTTTCGCCTTTTACTAAACGAATACGTGGGGTGATTAAGAAGAAGAAAGATTTATTTTTTCCCCTCCTTTTCTTCCTTTCTGCGAACAGCTCACCGCTCAGCTCTCTGTGATGACAATGATATCATAATAATCATTAAATAGTGTAGTCGGTTTATTAGTATCTATTCATGACAGGATCTACTAGCTCCTCTCAAGTGTTGACCAGGCATTGATGTGGCAGAGACCATTACTGCTTTCTGTCTTCCCTTGCAAATACAACATACCTTGGTCATGACTCGTGACTGTATGGGACCAGAAAGATCATTAGTATACATTCATGATGAGGGTATGTTGTGTTTTGGGGAAGATGTTAGCAGCCGTGTGATCGATGTTTGACCCTTCAAAAACTGCTTGGCTGTTGCAAAATGTAACTTGACACGTTGATACCGATAAAAGGGAAAAAGGACAAGGCAGCTCTATCGCCCTTTGCCCTTCTTCCGCTGCCTCTCTATCTTCTTTGCTCATCATACCTATACGGTATCCTCCGCAAGCCGCAAGCATGCTTTTTTTCCTTTTTTTAAGGGTAAAGCATGCTCGTATTTGAGCACTGCTGGGGCACGGCTTCATTAAACCACCGGTACACCAGGCCTGGAGGCATGCACTGCGTGCCAAGCTTCTCCGAACCACCAGCGGCACACTTTTTTTCTTTCTCAGCTGGTGCGGGCAGCCATTGTGGTCCGGTAGGCCCGAGGCGTGAAAATTTGCGGAGTAGACAAGCAAATCTCCACACGGCCGGGACTGTGTACTGGTGGAGGGGAGGGATCATAAAGATAGGGAATAGAGATAGAGCATGTGTGACAGCGAACAAAAACCGCAGATTCAGAATGGTCGAACAGAATGCGGACTTCATGAAGTATGCCCTATGTTTTGATCGGCTGTTGTCGTCACAAACGTCTGAAAAAGAATCTAGGAGAATGCAAGAACCCTCACAAGGCTCTACCGCAGACGGGACTGCAGCAGAGGCTCGCCACTTTTTTTGTGGTAGCAAGCCAGAAGGACAAAAGGAAAAGGACTCAGAAGTCAAATCACGGCCGGTTGGAGGAGAGAAAACCGAGGAGAGAAACAGCCCATATGCAGGTGGTAGGCAGGGAGGGGTTGTGGCCTGTTGGGGCTCATCAAGCGTTATCGATGAATGATCATCAATGATGTACTTTCGGCTCTGCTGGCTTTTGGGGCACACAAATAGTGCGAACCTTGCGGGTGATTCCCTTTTCCAGAACAATTTTCTATGGGATTGGCTTCTAAATTTTTTGTTTTTCACTTTTTGCTGTGTCCCAGAGGGGCGGCACGGGCGTGAACCATGCGGGGCAGAGGAATAGTGCGAACCTTGGGGGGCGGCATTATCGCCTGCTAGTGTGAACCATGCCCCTGGCATAGCTATATGATGTAGGGAAAATTTTGCAGTGCGCAAGAGACAAGAAATGAAAAAGCAAGTACTAAATCGCCATTCCACTCAACCACACAAAAACGCAGGGATCTTTGGTTTTGTGTGGATGACAGAAGGAAAAATTAAAAAAAAAGAAAAAAGATTGTTGCCTTTGTTGACCTCTGCATTGACTAAATTGACAAGCCTTTTGTCCAACAAAAATTGACAAGCGTAATTGAATTTTGAGCAGTATTTCATATGCTGATTTGTTCTCCGACTTCTCGCACTTGCACCTGAGAATAAGGCGGGTGGGTGTTCGGAGGGGTGGGCCAGGGCGGGGTGGGGCGAGGCGGGCGAGGCGTGGCGTGGGGGATTTGGGGGGCAGGGGTGGGGGTAGGGGAGGTTGTGACAGAAAGAAATAGCTTGTAACTATGTATTATATCCTCCTTGCCTCGCTCTGTGAATGCACTTTTTTTCACTGCTGGGGATGTGCGGGCCAGCAGGCAGGGGGAGCACCCTCGTGGGAAAACCTGGCAGATCAAGAACAGGGCAAGGATCCAGAGAAAAATAAAATTGGACTCAGGTCAGGGTTGCGCATTGCCATTGCCTGAGCAGTCAGAATCCAGCGTTACCTTCCAGTCCGGTGAGGGTACCCACGGGGGGTTGGGGCATATAAACAGGTTTTAAAGAGGTTTAAACTGAAAAGGGTTTTGAACTTTTGAACCACCAGTTCACACGAGCTTACGTTGACAAATGTACCTTCCCAGGCTCGCGAGCCTCCAACTGGAACTTTCCGAGCTTACGTTGACAAATGTACCTTCCCAGGCTCGCGAGCCTCCAACTGGAACTTTCCGTGGTTTCCTGCCATGTTTACTACTGACCCAGGCGTGAATTGACGAGCTCTTGCTCTTAATGCGTTAACCATAACGAGCCCTATTCTGCTTCGGGCGAGCTGGCGGAGGGAGTTTAAACCACCAGTCCATGGGATGGTTCTGCGGGTGCATTTCCTCATTAAAGGGGAGTTTAAACCACCAGTCCACGGACTGCTGTTGCATCTTAAACTACCAGTACACGCTATGAAATCAAATATGCGGCTTGCATACTGCCACAACTTTCGGGGCTCGGCTTCCAAGGCAGAATGGCCGGCGCCGCCAGCCAAAAGGAAGCCCGTGCCAAATCATTTTTTTTTGGGCACACACGGCATTTCCAGCCCCGGAAATAAAGCGCCTCGGGAGCACTGGTCGTTTAACTCTTATTTCCTAGTTTATTTTTGCCTTGAATTTGTAGGGAATTTTGAGGGGACCCTCAGCGATCGGCATTGAGCAGAGTCTGCTGATGTTCGTAGGGGAGGGGACCTGAGGGGAGGAGGCACATTGGTCCAGTTGGTATGGTCCCTGATGCTACCGGCTGTCCCCTGGCCGGTATTGCCCACCTGCAGGTCGGGAGCAGCCCCTGCATGTTCTCTCGTGAACACGGTTCTGGCTGCTACGGGGTTTCCTGTATGACTATAATTAAGAATAGTGGTAGGTAGGTAGTGTGAGGTGAGAAGAACGTAGCTTACTTTATGACCAAAAAAAAAAAAAAAAAAGTTTGTATTGCAATTTTACACGAGATACGTTATTTCTCACATGTTACGATCCTGGTCATTCCCAAAGTGCAAATTCACAATGAAAGACAAATGCCACCCAATTGCGAAAGAAATGAAAGCACTTGCAAGGAGATAGAGACCAAAGAAGAGAGAAAGAACAAGAAGAAGGCAAAGATGATGTACACCAGCAAGACCAATGACAAATCCCCCTTTTCTCTCCACCTTCCTCCTCCTCCTTGACTTCGCCAATCTTATTCTTCTTCCAAATAATAATATTAACGAGTGGATGAACCTGTTACGGACTCAGCCAGGTCTCGATCCCTGGTTCGCGGGTTACCACCTGCCAGGCTGCTATTTTATTCTGAGTTCCTGATCTCCGGTTCTTGACTGCTGGCGCCCTCTGCAGTTGGCGCCCGTTCTCGAATCCCTCCACTGGCACTTTCGGATTTCGATACTTGGCGCCATTCAGCATTCTGGCGCCCAGATGCAGACCTGCGATCCTCAGTTCAGTCCTGGTACTTAAGTCTGGACTCAAGCCCCATTGGGGCATTCAGTCTTCGGCCTCAGTGCTTGTGCTTCAGTGTGACTTGCCGCGACTTTCTGTTCGGAATCCAAGATTGCGACTTTGCGACTTTGAGACTTTGTCACTTCGTGTCTGCGTCCGTCGTGTCGAGTCGAGTCCGTGTCCGAGTCGAGTGAGTGTGTGTGTGTGCTCTCACTCTCTTCCTCTCTCTCTCTCTCCCTCGACCTCTCTCTCTCTTCCCCAACCTCTCTGCTCTGCCTCGGTCTCGTCACACTTGTATCGGAGCGACGAAACGTCCCTCCCTCCNCTCTCTCTCTCTCTCTCTCTCTCTCTCTCTCTCTCTCTCTCTCTCTCTCTCTCTCTCTCTCTCTCTCTCTCTCTCTCTCTCTCGGTGCGCTGGCAAAATTTGCCAGACTGTCCGGAGGTCCCTGGGGGGAGAATCTCTCCAGGATGTACCCCGGACTGGGGAAGTACTTGGTAATGAGGCAATGACAGGGAATGAGAACGCAGTTTTCAGGAACGGCGTGGTGTATTTTATTGTACTCTATGTGGTCTTTTTGGTTGTATTTTATTTTTTATTATTTTATTTTGCATCGGCGATAGAGCGTTTTTTGAACGGAAAGATAGCCGTAGAGTGATGTAGTATGAAGGGAAAAAAACCGTTTCTGGCTCATTGATCTGAATGACGAACGGCGCTTGGGGTGAATCCGCCACGACAGAAAATTTTGGGATAGGTACCTTCTTAGTGTGTTATTTTATCTATTTATTTATTTATTTATTTTATTTTTATTTTATTTTATCTTTTGTTAAAAGCAGGGTAAGTCGGGAAATCCGAACAGGGATCGGA